GGGAGCGGGGCGCAGCAACACCCCCCGCGGCAGCCTCGAGCCGGATCTCTTCCTGGCACCGGTCCGGGCGAACCTGCACACCGCCCCAGCCCCGCGCACCGAGCCGCGCGCAGGTTCCGGGAACCCCGCCGCATTCCCAGATCCCTAGCTCGAGCGCCCCATCGTTCCGGGGCCCTGCCTCCCACCTCTCCTCCCAATCACCCTCATGCTTCAAGCCTTAGGTGCAAAGGGACTGACTCCGCGAAGTCTTTCTCCGTCCCTAGTCACTGATCTCACTGACGCCAGCCACCCTCCCTTCCAGGAGGTGTGCTGGGCGCTGAGACACAGATGGGTTAGAGACCCTGAAAGATGGCACGGTCTCAGTTTAAATGCGGATGCAGAGCTCTACCTGCAGGACCTGGGAGGTACCTGCCTCCACTCTCTCATCTGTGGCTCACGACTCAACTCTACCAATCTGCTTTTGCCCATGGCACATCCTGTAAACGTATTTTTCTGTCAAATGCAAAGGATTTTTTTTTTAATTTTGCTACAGGGCATGCATGTGTGCTCACCAGAGAGAGACAGAGAGAGAGAGGAAAAGTGAAAAATGACCCCCGTAGGGGGATGACACCACCACAATCCTTTCTCCATCATTCTTACAGAATTTTGAGTATGCTGGCATGTTTTTTAAGGCCCAGCTCTGGGACTCGAACCTTGCAATGAGCCAATGAGAAGTCCCCCCCCCCCCCCGCCACACACACACACACTGGCTGGTCCACAAAGGATAATTTTCAATTCTTTTTCTTTAACATCTGACACTGCCTCTTCTTCCTTTCTGAGCCTTCTTGGCTTCATTATCTTCTGAAATCTATGATTGCCCAAGTCCCTTCCAGTCTTCTGCAAGAAGCCGGCTCTTGGCTCTTGCTTCTGCCTCATTAACTAAGTATTCACTGCGGTCAGAAACCAGTCCTCTTCCCACCCCACTCCACGTGCTCCTGCTCTCGAAGGTCTGTCCCTTTTGTGGCCCACTGTACTTTTACATTTCCTCCTTCAGCCGCATCTTAGGCTCATATTTCCAAGTGCCTGCTGGACAGCTCCACCCAGACATCCTCCCACACTTGAAATTCAAGGAGTCCAAACCAAAGCCTTTCTCTTCCCCTCCCGCATGAACTTGTCCTGCTGCCCTGTCTCAGTGTATGGTACCTTAATGCCAGGAGCGGCAGGTCCTCTCTCTCCCTTCTTCCATACTCAACTGCTCACCCTCCCTTGACATATTACCGCCGGACCTGCTCTCACGTGACTCCACTGCCAGTGGAGACCCTCCTGTGTCTTGCCAACAGTATTGTAGCCTCTTTGCCAGTCTCACAGTTTCTGGAAACATTCCTCCCATTTGGTCTGTTGCAGTGACAGGTGGTAAGAGACCCGGCTTGGATCAGCAATTAGCGTAATGGCTATGTCGCTGGACTCTCATGTAGTCGACCACGGTTCACGTCCCGGACCCAGCGGCTTAAAACTCACGCCGGGCACGTGTGCGTGTGTGCCCAAGATCCCAAGAGGAGACTGGAGGAGAAGGGATTGCGGCGTGGCCATCTCCTCGGGGGGTGATTTCTCGTTCCTACAGCAAAAAACCTCTCCAGAAAAAAAAAAAGAAAAAAAAAAAAAAAAAAAAAAAAAACAAAGAGAGAGAGAGAGACCCGGCTTAAACATTACTTCTCTACATACTCTTTTTTTTTTTTTTAAGAGAGAGGTTCTTTACTGTAGGGCATATGCGTTCACCAGAGAGACAGAGACAGACAGAAAGTGAGAAATCACCCTCCAAGGGGGATGGCCATGCCACAATCCCTTCTCCTCCGTTCTCCTCTCAGGATTTTAGGCACACGCACCTCGCATGAGTTTTTTTTGGAAGTGATACCTTTCTTTTTTAAAAAAACTTTTTATTTATTATTATTATTTTATTTTATTCTGACCAAGGTGGGGAGAAAGCAAGCTGACAAGTCTGGGAATCGAACTGTGGTTGGCCATGTGGGAATCCAGCGCCCTTAACTACTATACCACCTGCCAGCCCCGTGCCACCTGCCAGCCCCACACCCAGCATGAGTTTTAAGCCACTGGGTCCGGGACTTGAACCATGGTCAACTACATGGGAGTCTAGCAACGGTAACCATTACACCATCTGCTGGTTCCTATATTCATTCTTATATATTTATTCACATGTATTTTTTCCTTTTTAAAACACAGATTTTGGCCAGCCGGTGAAGTGTGTTTAAAGTGGCTAGATCCCACATGGTCACCTGTGCAGTTGGCGTCCTGGACCTGGTAACTCAGAAAACACACTGGGTGCATGTATGTGCATGCCAAAAATTATTTTTTTCTCTTTGGTGAGGATTTGTTTTTTACTTTATTTATTTATTTACTTATTTTTAATTTGACCAGAGACGGACAGAAAGAGAGAGAGAAATTGAGGAAGCGAGCCACCAGGTCCAGGACTCAAACTGTGGTCGGCCATGCTGAAGTCCAATGCCCTTAACCACCACGCCACCTGCTGGCCCCACATGCCAAAAAAATTCAGAGGAGAGAATGAGGGAGAAGGGACACTGGGTGGCCATCCCTGGGAGGCTCTTTCTCACTCTTCCTCCAACACTATCTACCTACAGTGAGCACATGAACCCTATAGCCAAAAAAAAAAAAAGATAGGGTCTCTCTGTCACAATCCTCCTGCCTTGGCCTCCACAGTTGTGGGATGATACATGCCACCACCCCAGCCTTTAGGTTGGAAGGGGAATCAAACCCAGGACTTAGACCTGGTCCTAGCTTGTAGCATCTTAGCATCATGCACCACTATAGCTGGGCTTTTTTGTATTTTTAAAAATTATTTTACTTTTATTTATTTCAATTAAATACTTTTTAAATTATTTATTTTATTTATTTATTGTTATTATTTTTTCAGTTTGACCAGAGAAAGACAAGAGAGAGACACTTAGAAAGCAAGCCACCAGGTCCGGGACTCGAACCATGATTATCCATGTGGGAGTCCATTGCCCTTAGCCACCACCCACCGGCCCTATTTTTATTTTTTAAATACAAATATTATTTTTTTCTTTCATGAGAGAAAGGGAGAACAAGAGAGAGACAGGAATTATTTTATTTATTATTATTTTTTTTAATTTGCTATAGGACACATGGACATGTGTGCTCACCAGAGAGAGGAAAAGTGAGAAAGCAAGCCACCAAGTCCAGGACTTGACTCATGACTGCCTTTGTGGAAGTCCAGTACCTTAACCACCATGGTACCTGCTGGCCCCCAGAATGTGCTCCTAACTTTCCAGATGAGGCGAGACTGCTGATCTGAGCACCATGTTTTGAGAACTTTGATCTATAGTAGAGACTGCTGGTTAACAAAGACACCACAGCCAGCATTCCTAGTTTCAATCCTGTCCCTTACGAGGCGTGTAGTATTGGACAAATTATTTCACTTCCCTGTGCTTTCATTTCCTCCCCTGTGAAATGGTGGACCTAGCAGTACACCTCACTGGGCTGCTGTGAAGAGAAGCTGGCAGCTGAGGGGCTGGCAGGTGGTGTGGTGGTTCAGGCACTCCACTCCCACATGGTCAACTATGGTTTGAGTCCTGGGCCCAGCAGCTTGCTTTCTCACTTTCCCTCTCTCTTTCTGTGTCTCTCTGATTAAATTCAAATAATAATAAATAAAATTAAATAGTTTTTAAAAAGAGTGAATGAGTTGATACACAGAACACTGCCTAAAAGCATTCAGCAAAGTCTTAGTTCTATCACGCTCACACGCTTCTCACATGTA